CCCTATACCTGTCAAATAAGATTAATTTCTTAAAAATTCTCCTCACAAGGGCTGTGGGGACCAGGTTTTGGAGAACATCTAGCTCAATTGGCAGAACACAGTTTATAAAGAAAATGTTCAACGTTGTACCTTGGTGAGTACTTCTGGGGTCTTAAAAGCCTGTGAGCAGCCATCTAAGATACTCCACTGTTCTCACCTCTTCCGAAGCACGGGAGAATGAAGAAAACAAGATACAAGGGAAAGATTAGTCCAAAGGACTAATGGACCACAACTACCACGGCCTCCACCAGCCTGAGTCCAGTACAACTAGATGGTGCCCGGCTACCACCACTGACTGCTCTGACCGGGATCACAACAGAGGGTCCCGCGCAGAGCTGGAGAAAAATGTAGAACAAAATTCTAACTCACAAAAAAAGACCAGACTTCCTGGCCTGACAGAGACTGGTGAAACCCCAAGAGTATGGCCTCCAGATACTCTTTTAGCTCAGTAATGAAGTCACTCCCAAGGTTCACTGTTTAGCCAAAAATTAGCCTCATAAAACAAAATGAGACTAATGGGGCACAGCAGTCCAGGGACAAGGACTAGAAGGCAGGAGGGGACAGGAAGGCTGGTAATAAGGAACCCAAGGTCGAATAGGGACAGTGTTGACATGTCATGGGGTTGTTAACCATTGTCATAAAACAATATGTGTCCTAACTGTTTAATGAGAAACTGTTTGTTCTGTAAACCTTCATCTAAAGTACAATTAAAAAAAAAAAATTCTCCACACAAAGAAAACTCTAGATCCAATGGTTTTACTGGTGAATTCTGGCAAACATTTATGGAAGAAATAATGCCAATCTTACACAAGCTCTTTAGAAAATAGAAAAAGAATACTTCCCAAGCATTTTTTGAGATATAACTAATATATAAAAATATATAACCGATGGGGTTTATCCCAGGAATATGCGGTTGTTTAACATTCAAAAATCCCTGTAATCCATCATCCAGAATAAAGCAGAAAAATCAAATGATCATTTCAATACTCAGGAAAAGCATTTGACAAAATTTAATAGCCATTTATGACGAAAACTCTTAGCAAACTTGGAATAGACCATTCTTAATCTAATCAAGGCCAGCTTCAAAAAACTACAGCTTATACAATATTAATGGCAAAACACATCAGATTTATAGTAAGACAAGGATGTCCACTGTCCCCATTTCTGTTTATTGTTGTACTGAAGGTCTGAGCCAGGGCAATATGGTGAGCAAAAGAAATAAAAGGCATAAAGATTAGGGAGAACAGGAATAAAAGTGTCCCTATTCATAGATGAGAGCGTTGTTTACATATCAAATCCTGAGGAACCATCAAAAAACTGTAAGAGCTAATTGAACAGGGCTTCAAACCATTCATTCCAGTTTGAACCACTGCTGAGAATTTGCATTTCCACCCCAGATATACTGAATCAGAATCTACAGTTTTAACAAGATCCCCAGGTGATTCTTATGAATAATATATTTTGAAAACCACTGCTCTACTAGTGGTTCTGAAAATTGGTCCCTATAACCAGCAGCATTAGCATCATCTACAAACTTGTTAGAAATGCTGAGAAACGGGTTTGAACCTGAATGAACCAGTTCAAAGCCCTAGTAATAAGTGAGTTTAGCAAGGTCTCAGAATATAAGGTCAATATACAAATATCAATCTGTGTTTCTATATACTAGCCAAAAAAAAATTGGAATGTGAAATTTTTAATAATTCATTTGTAGTATCAAAAAGCATAAAATACTTAGGAATATATTTAATAAAAGATGTATAAAATTTTGATACTAAAAACTAAAATACTACTGAGAGAAAGAATACCTAAATGAATGGAGAGATAGTTTATATTCATGGATCGGGAGATTAAATATTGTCAAGATGTCCTTTCTCCCCAAATTATCCTTAGATTCAGCATGGTCTCAACCATAATTCCAGCAAACTTATTTTGTAAAAGTTGAGAAGTTGATTCTAAAATAAATGTGAAGGACCTAGAATAACCAAAACAATTTTCAAAAGAACAAAGATGAAGGATTTAAACTACTTTCAAGGCTTACTATAAAACTACAGTAATCAAGACATTGTGCTACTGGCATAAGATCAATGGAATGGAATAGAGAATCCAAAAAAATTGACACACATACAGTCAATTAATTTTAGACAGTGGTGTCAAAGCCTTTGGGGAAAGGAAAATCTTTCAAGGAATGATACTGGAACACTGGATATCTATATGGAAAAAAGATAAACCTCAACTCCTACTTAGGCCATATGTAAAAATTACTTTGAGATGGAATATAGACCTAAACATAAAAGTCAAAATTATAAAGCTTTTAGATTAAAATATGGGAGATTATTATCACCATTCGAAGGTAGGCAAAGATTTGTTAAGACTTCAGAGCGCAATAATCATAAAGAGAGCAAAACCAAAATTGATCAACTAGACTTTATCAAAAATAAAGTTCTGTTTATCAAAAGACACTATTAAGAAAATGAATAGGCAAGCCAAACCAAACCAGTTGCTGTCGAGTTGATTCTGACTCTCAGTGACCCCATGTATTAGAGTAGAACTGTGCTCCATAAAGTTTTCAACGGCTGATTTTTTGGAAGTAGATTGCCAGGCCTTTCTTTCAAGGCGCCTTTGACTGGACTGGAACCTCCAACGTTTCGGTTAGCAGCCGAACATGTTAACTGTTTGCACCATCCAGGGACTCCAAAGCAAGCCAAAGACTGGGAGAGATTTTTTGCAAGACATGTATCTCACGAAAAACACCTTGAACAGAAACTTCACAAAGGAACGTATCCAAATGGCCAATACACACTTGAAAAGTAATCATCATTTTGTTAGTCATTGAGAGATACAAATTAAATTACAATGAGACACATCCACTAGAATCGATGAAATTTAAAAGTTTAACCATACCAGGTGTTCATGAGAATGTGCGACAACTAGAACTCTCATATATTGCTCATGGTAATGTAAAATGCTACACCACTTTGGAAAGTTTTTTGGCGGCTTCTTATAAACAATAAAAATAAACAGCTACACTTTGACCCACCAATTCTACTTCTACATACTTATCCAAGAGAAATGAAAGCATATGTTCACAAAAAGACTTGTACGAGAAGTTCATAATCACCTTAATTCATGTTGTCACAAACTGGAAACAACCTAAATGTCCATTCACAGGAGAATGAATACAAAAATTGTGGTCTGCTCATACAATGGAATACCTCTCAGCAATAAAAAGGAACAAACTACTGATTGAAGCAGCAGCATCAGTGGCTCACGTGGACATTATGCTTAGTGACGGAAGCCAGACAAGAAAGAGTGCATGCTATATACTTCCATTTATATTATATTCTAAAATACACAAATCTAATCTAAGGTGAAAATACCAGAATACTGTTTACGTCTGGAGGTGAGAGTACTGGTTGAAAAGGGACACGAGGAACCCTTCTGAAGAGATGGAAATGCTCTATATTATTACAGGAATATGGATGCATCCGTTTGTCAAAATTGTGCAGTTCAGGTTTGTGTATTTCAGTGTATGTAAATTTTACTTTGGACATGTTATCAGGGGGGACCAGCCCCTGAAGAAGGACATCATGCTTGGTAAAGTAGAGGGTCAGTGAAAAAGAGGAAGACCCTCAATGAGATGGATTGACACAATGGCTGCAACAGTGGGCTCAAGCATAACAACGATTCTGAGGATGGCACAGGACAAGGCAGTGTTTCATTTTGTTGTACGTAGGGTCACTATGAGTCAGATCCCACTTGATGGCACTTAGCAATATAACAACAAACTTTATATTAGAAAACTAACTATTAAAAATATAATTAATAATAGAGTAATGGGGTGGAATGTTGTTGGAGTTACTGATACAAGCATAACAGTGTTGATAATGGTTGAACCTGAAAGGTGGGTACATAGTCATTGATTGGACTAGTACATTATATTGTCATATTTAACCATTATTCTATTAAGAGACATTTAGATTGTGTCTAATACTTTACAATTATGAAAACATTACAGTGAACATTTTTGTACATACAACTTTTTTTAATTTCAAATATTGTCTTAGGATGGATCCTTACAGTAATTACAAGCTCTGAGTGTATGAGCATCTTTAAGGCTTTTGACTTAATTGGCTGCACTCATTTATACTTTCATCACCAATGTATGAGAATACATACTATATACCATTCTAGCTCACTTTTTTCTCATCATGATTACTAAAGAAATCATTATTCTGACAACACCTAGATACTAGTTAAGATTCTAGTACCCAAGGTATTGACTAGTTTATCCCATGACACTGACTCCACCTATCAGAAATGGATCCCTAGGCTTTGCTTTTTTTTTTTTTAATGGTGGCCTGTACATGTAGTGCTCGACTTGTGGTGTATTTGAGTTACGACGAACCATACTTAAGACTGTCTGATGTTTTTTTATATACCTTATCATTAGTAATATGTACTACATACAGTGTTACATCACATAATTTGCTGATGTTATCATTCTCAGATGTTCACTCGCAGATGTTCAAAGATAGGATTTATAAAGATACTGATAATAAAAGGCAATAATAATGAAAACTTACAAAAAAAAATTATTCAACTTACGTCAGAACGGACTTACGACAGCAGTGTCGGAACAGAACCCCATCGTAAGTCAGGGACTTGCCTATACTGTAAAATATGAGAAAGGATGAAGGGTGATCCTGGTCTGGCCCTTTGACTGCATTCCTGGCTGGGCACATCTTCTAACCTGCTGACCATTTGAAGGAGCTGCCCCAGCTTGAAGGATTGAACATCTAGGACATGATTAATATCCTATCAATAATGATAGATGGGCCTTTGTTAAATATCAGCAGTGCCCCATCATCATCATCTTGGAGTTTTTCTAATCACACTTAGAAGCAAACTTCCTACAATGTCAGATTATTCCAAATTCAGGTTCTTTGGTTTCCTGTCCCCAGGTTCACTGCACCTCAGGCAGAACTCTATGAAGCTGTTCTAGAGATCCAGAGCGCTTGTCTGACCCTCTGCTCCCCTGGGTCAAGCTTGGAGAACATTTACAGCATGATGCTGACACTGATAGGACAGAAACTTAAAGAGTTGGGGATCGTGAACAATAAGAAAAATGATGCATTCAAGGTACTTAACTTCTCTTGACCCATTTTCAAGAACACTTAACATCCAGCTCAGATTTTACCCTATATACAGCTGAAAAGATTTAGAAATAGTCTTTGTGACTCTTCATCTCAAAGAGGCTGAGACTCAGAGCTCATTCAGAAGGGACTTAGATTTAATTATTTAAATTCAATGAATTCCAACTCATGGCAACTCCACGTGTGTCAGTAAACAACTATGCTCCATAGGGTTTTCTATGATTGATTTTTCAGAAGTAGTTCGCCAGGCCTTTCTTCCGAGGTGGGTAGACTAGAACCTCCAACCTTTTGGTTAGCAGCTGAGCGTGTTAACCTTTTGCACCACCCAGGGGCCCTAGAGTCAAGCCTGCATGGATTAAAACAAAGGCAGTCAGTACTTGTTTCTCCCAGAAGATGGCAGCACCTTCTGGTTCATGGCATAAAGCATAACTAGCTCAACAGAAAACATAAAATGAAGTCTGTTGGAGACAGGGTGGGAAAGACACGAAAAAGGAGGAGAGGTTAACTCTTAATCCTTTTGTGGTGATTCTGAAAAGGAAGAGGTTGAAAGGGAAGGTGTTTGTTGCTTCAGTGATGTTGCAACTTTAACAGTATGCCCTAGGACCATGTCTTAAAGTGAGTTTTGTCTGCATCCAAAATATAAGTGGTGTTCAATAAAACTGGAAAGCCTCAGCTTTAAAGAAAGGTGATGGGTGCTCAAGCCACGCAGACTGTTAAGCATCTCCCAGTTCCAAGTTTAGGCTGTCAGGGCCTCTTTCTCAACAGAAAAGAAACTGTAAATTTCCCCCTGCTGAGGCCAGCGAATCTTTAATTAACTGATAGAAATATCCAGGCTGGTAGATGCACAGTAATTATGCTGGTATTTGATGTCTCGTGCCCACTCCACAGACTGCTGTGAGACGCCTCAGGTCTCCAGAATGTGCTTCCTGAGAGGGGTATACGAATATGGAAAAGAGAGTTGTTATAACATAGTCACCAAAAACCAAACCCATTGCCGTCGAGTCAATTCTGACTCATAGCAGCCCTGTCGGAGCAGCCTTTGCTCTTAACCACTGTCGCACCAGGGCTCCACATAGTCACGGCCACCCCTCAGAATAAAGAGAGATTTTCATTTGCTTTAGTCAGCGCTAGAGTTGCCCAAGTCAGCATATTAGTATATTAACTAGAAGGAACGGAAGTACAGGTTAGTTAGAATGCCATTGGCAGAATCTCATACAAGAGATGGCAGTTTATCAGGTATCTTAAGTATTAGCCCAAGAATGGGTTAAACGTAAGTGGCAGAACCACAGGGGAGGTATTAACACGTCTCACTGGTTTATACATGTTCAGCTTTCCCCTTTAACCATCATTGCTTTAATAACACTATGGTAATTCTCTTTCCCAGGCTGCTCGAAAATACTGCCCTCACCATGTTGGCCATTATCTTGGGATGGATGTCCACGACACTCCCGACGTGCCCCGTTCCCTCCCTCTGCAGCCTGGCATGGTAATCACAGTTGAGCCAGGTAAGGGGATGTGCTGGCAACCTTTGACCCCTGGTGACACAGAATGATAATGTGAGCTAGAAAGATAGACATTTATTTCTACCTGAACCAACATAATTAAACTAGAAAAAAACAGAAAAAGGAATCTCTGGTGTGGTAGGGAACTTTATTTGTTTTAAATTTATCTTTAGCTTTCTCATTTAACATCACACAATTTGTTTAATTTGACTTCTCCTATCAACAACAGATGGGGAATACTTTCTATAAGCAGATATTAAGAAATAAATGTTTTTTAAAATCTGCCTCTGCCGGGACCGATTTGTGCGAGTCTCCCATTGAATAGTGGCTGGGTTGCTTGAGCTTCTAAAGTGCCAGGGCTTTTGTGCAGAGAGACGCTCCGGCTGTCCGTGGTCTCAGTTGCAACACCTCTGCTGAGATCCACCTGTCTCGCTGCTTAGGATCCAGATCCTTTCTCATAAGCCCCAGGGATGGGGAACAATCTAGTAGGTTAACTGACTTGGATGGTGCTGGGCGTTGGGCAGAATTCTAAAGAGAAGTGGTAGCTACAGTGGAGTGTGAAGATTGATGTCACAAGAGCTGGTTTTTAAACACTGATGCTGTTTTTGTCATGAAAATGGATCTCAGTCTTAGATTCAAGTGTGTTCACCTCTAAATTATATAAATCATATACGGGAAACATCTTTCCTACCGCCCTTTGAGCCTAGTCATACATTGCTGTCTGTGGTCTTAGCATTTAGTCCAGTCTAGTTGGTACATAAGTATTTCCTTAGGCTTTGACTACATCTTCGGTTGCTGGTCTTTCTCTTTTTATCACAGAGCAGTGTCTGTGAGTTTAGAGGAGGAAATTTATAATTTGTTTCATATGAAAAGACCTGGTGTCTGTCTGACATCATGTTTAGAAAACGTACCTTGGGCTCTTAGATATTTCCAACTGTCCATTGAAGTCTTCCTATTTATCTTCCTTTGCATCATGCATTTACATTTATAGCTTATTTGAGAAAAAAAATTTTGATGACTGTTCCTCAGCTTCTGGTTAGTTAGGCTAATAATCTCTAATTAAGTGTTTTATATATTTTAAAATACCTTGTATCTTTATTTTAGCAAAATGCCCTTTTTCCAGGGGCTTATTGGGCAGAGGAAGGATGCCTTTATATAATCTACTAATTCCCAGCATATATGGGCATACTCATAAGCTAAATAATTTTGATAGCCTGCTTGAGCCACTAAAATATGACAGAATCAGGATCAACATTATGATAGTTATATGGAGCCTGTAGTCTAATATATAAAAATAATTATAATAATACTAATAATGGTTGTCAACATTTATTGACCATTATGTACCAGGACCTTTTTTTTAATATGTTATCTCACTGAATCCTCACAACTCTGTTGGGTAGCTGCCATTAATATACCAGTTTTACAGATGAAGGCATTGGGACACAAAGAGGTTAACTTACTTGCCGTAAACCACCCAGCTACTGTCTTTGATTCTTTCCTCTACTTCCCAGGCATTTATATTCCAGAGGATGACAGAGATGCCCCCGAGAGGTTTCGTGGTCTCGGGATACGAATTGAGGATGACGTAGTGGTGACTCAGGACTCACCCCTCATCCTTTCTGCAGATTGCCCCAAAGAGATGAGTGACATTGAGCAGATCTGCAGCAGGACCTCGTGACCCTCATCACAGCCCTCATGCATCTCAGGTTCCTCCAGAGGGGTGTCCGCCGGCACCCACGCACGTGTGCTTTCTGAGTGTCGCTGTGTGTGCACTGATACACGGCTCCCATGTGGGAATGCAGCAACTGTATGAGTGTATGTGATAGTGTCGGGTGGGGGGGTTTGTTGTTGTTTTAAGCAGATGGAAATCTGGAAGGCTGAATTTTTCAACTGTATATTACTACAGCTTTAGTAACATTAATTCTGGAGAATTAATGACCCGGGCAGGTTTACTTTTAAATGTAAAGAAAGGTCTTGGTTACATGTGTCTGTGCATTCCAGTTAACACATTTAAACGTACATAAATTTCTCTTCTCTCCAGGTCCCTCCTCTTTTGCTGAGATCCACCTAATATTGTAAGATCTTGGTGTGATGCTTATGTTTTGAGCTGATCGTCAAGGTCTCTGCCTGTACTATAAGCCACCCATCAGTGATTGTGGGCAGCCAGTGCAAGTCTTCTGTAACATCTCCCTACTTAGTCCAGTTCCTGCAAGTCTGCTGGAGCCATGGCAGCCCTCGTGAGCACTAGTGTCCTGCACTCCTACCCATCAGCCACAGTCCACATTCTGGCAACACTAGCCATCGAACAAAACCATTTTGAACCTTTCTTGCCATTTGGTTGCCTGGGGCCTGGGAAGTATTTTTGGATTCTGTTAAGGAAGAAAATGAAAGAGAGAGAAAAGTATATATTGCGTCCACTACCAGTCCAGACTTCCATCTATCTGTTCTCCTCAACTTAAAGATGATTCCTTTTCTAGAAGTCTGTTCTTCCTTTATAGATTCTTAATGCACTGCCCCTCCTAGCACACCCTAGATACTGCCCCAGCCAGGGAAGAGCTTACCCTAGTAAAGTCGGAGTAGTGGTACCCAGTTTTCAGAGAAATGCTCCTTATATCCTTCTGTGATTTCCTCTAGAGCTGATAAGAACAAAATACGGAATCCACCAAGTACCTGTAACCACCTTATGATCCCTGCCTTCCTCTGGTGTTAGCACTAGAAGGGCAGGGAGTCATATTTATCTAAACACAGTATGGATGCAATTATACTACAACTCAGTTTGCACGGTGAACAGACTAGATTCCTGTAGAAGGTTTCTTAAGGAGCTCCTGTCAGAGAAGGAAGCTTTAAGAACCAGTGTGTTCACCTCTTCAAACCTGGACATGAGCCCAAGATTATAAAACCTGCTGAATGATAGAGCATAGAATTTTTTTTTTTTTATATTTGTATTAGGGGAGCATAAGCTAGAGGATTAACACTCTTTGCAGTACTAGACATTTGCCTCCCTTAGCAGCAAAACACAGGTACAGAGCCAAAAGCAGGCAGGTAGTGACTTCATCAGGAGACAGAGATAATGTTATAAACCAAAGTGATGCTATCATATCCTGACAGTGTTCTTCAATGAATGCCTGGCTTTCATAACCTTATCTCAGCAGCTGCAGGAATGGATGGCTGCACAGCTGGAGCTGTCGTCACCCCCTGCCTTCCCTCTCTACCCTCCTCCAACTTCTCAGTCCTGCTCTACCTTCTAAAGAAGAGGCGAGAAAATAAACCCACAACTCTGGCTCCTCTTACTTGTCCCCTCATTCCCAGGGCCTCTGTGGCCCCTACAACACTTTCCTTTGAGTGGGTTTCTTTTGTTCATTTACAATCCTGAAATGAGGATTTTCCTTTTCTTCCTGTAAATCATTTTCTGTGGTCTTCAACTTTCTAGTTGAAAATCTGGGTGGCTTTTATGTAGAACTGCATACTTGGACATGAAACTGATTTCTCCTAGTTAGGGAAGTAAGATTCCAGTCAACTTCTGCAGCTGTTGCTAGTAGTAGTTAGAATGGCAATTGTGGAACTCTTTCGTGATTTTTAGTCCCTGACCCACGTATATTGTCCTTTGAGTCCCAGACTAACCAAAGCACCTAAGCTTTGGAGTCAGACTATCGGAACCATCAAGAGATGACATAATGAACATCTCATAGCAACATTTAGGGTGCTATTTAATACATTCAGGATTGGTGGAGCAGATAATGGAGTCCTAGTTGCACAGTGGTTAAGAGCTTGGCTGCTAACCAAAAGGTCGACGGTTCGAATCCACCAGCCACTGCTTGGAAACCCTATGGGGCAGTTCTACTCTGTCCTGGAGGGTTGCTATGAGTCAGAATTGACTCTACAGCAACAGGTTTTGTTTGGTGGTTTAGAGCAGATAATTATGCACCATGCACGGATCTCATTCATTCCTAGCCATGCCACGGACACACCCCACTTTTCCTCCAGGTCTAAGTATAATAAATACTCCATGTATACACCTAGTTCTCCTGATGAAAATCTTAATTTAAAAATAAAATTCTTCAAGTGTTACCTCTGGAGTTTTTTCCCTCTGAATTAAAGTTGAAGAGATATGAGTGGGTCAGTAACTATCGCAACTAAATGGAGGAAGCATACCTGGGTAGCCTCGGCTGCATGTTTTTATGTATTTGTTTTCCAGAATTGCTGTTTTTTTTCCCCTGATCAGAAAATTGGGACCATGTCTTTTATTTGAAAGACAGCAGTAAAAATACTGGAGTTAAGAACTCTCCTCTTCCGGTAGTCATAATATACAAGCTTGGAAGGTGCTTCCGGTTATGTGTGTGTCTTCTTTCAAAACAGTACTTTCTCATTAATTTTTACAAGAACAGAAAGGAAGCAACCCTCACCATAGACATTCTTTCTTAATTGAGATTCAGATCCATGAAACAAGTTAAATCTCCAGATAAAGACATGAGAAACTCATTACAATAGAAAAACTGAGCTTTGTTAATATTTTTCCAAATGTATGTAAGCAACACCCACCAGCTTCTGTAATAATACAAAGATCACACAGAGGAAGTGTGAGTGCTGCCTGTCCCCTCCCATGCCCATGTCAGAGGTCACGACTAGAGCACAATCCAGCCATGGCCTCAGAGTCTTTCTTCACAGCGTTTCAGATAACTGTGCCCAGTAAAACAGAGTGGGACGTTCAGTTAAACCTTGTCTGCCATTCCTCAACTAGTACTTGATGATACATAACCTATTTGTGTATGTGTTAGAAGCTAAGTGAGGGCCTGCAGATAGATGGTGGCAGCATAAAGGACCCTGTTGGATGGGGCTTTTAGGGGATGGTTAATGTTTTTACTTTTTAGTTTCCTGAGGTGGGACCTCAAGCTGAGAGGGCATTTGCCTGGGCAAATGTACATTAAGTGTTCAACGCTCCTAGAGGAATGACAAGGTAGATGTGTTATTAAACCCTAACGTCAGAGCAGAATTCCGTTGTCACAAACAACTAACTGGGTTCTCCTGGTTACTCTTCTTGTCTCTGCCTGGGGATCACTGACAAACTTTGGGAGAGCAGCAGTATTGTTGGAAATCAAGGTTTTTGGAATGTGCTTCACAAGATCTTAGAAAACTGCAACTCTTGTTAGCTCTTATGAATGGGTTTGTATGACTTTTGTGCAATTACATAAGTTCAGTTTGGACAAAACGCTGTTACTTTTTAAGGCCCTATCCACTGAGAATAGATATGTCATTCCCCAACAAGAGAAAGTCATTTGTTACTGTCATTTTAAAAATAAACTAAAACAATATAGAAGCATATGTCCCATGTGTGTCTTATTTTAGAATCTAGAGTTTACAGGTTTAAATGTGAGAACATTGTATTTTATAAAATATTTTATTTTACAAAGTATTTGTTAATCACTGTCACAGAATCATTACAGCAAACTTGAAGTGATCTTGTCAGTCTTAGAGGGGAAAAAACAATGGGTTCTACGTAGGCCCAGCCTGTTAAAAGATTGACTCTTCACAAAACTGACCCATAGGTCTCCAGAAAACCACTGTAGCACTCAAGACTAAACTAGAGCCATGAATTTTATAAAGGCTGGGTTGTGTGGGGAAGTAGAATCAATTTGCGAAGTTATGTAAATAGGTGAGCTTTCTCACTCAGTAAGCCATATAAAGGATCTTCAGTGTAGCCATCTTTCCCTACTAGGAATCCTCTGTAGAGTCTGAGGTTCTCTCCAAGGCATGCTTCCCAACACTTCATATCCTGGCGCACATCACAAGATTCCTTTGTATGGCACAGTTGGAGTAAACTTGAGAAGACTTAATAAAAAAATTATGTCCTTTATGTAATTATGATAAGAAAAGAAATAAAAAGTTTTACAGAAATTTTAAAAATTGTTTAACACTTCTAAAACAATATTCTTAAAAATGTTAATAAAAAAATTGAGCTTTACTTCTGGGAACGTGACTTTTTTGATTATCAGGCCAAAACGTACAATTCCAGATCCAGACTTCTTAGTAATAAGGTGTTCAAATTCTTGATAATCACCATATACAAGAAACTTGTTTGCACGAGTAGGTAATAAAAAATTTAAAACCATTTTTATGATAATTCATAATTTTATGATTGAACTGATTAATGGATAAGCAAACTGTAGCATATCCATACAATGGATATGATTTGGCCATAAAAAGGAATACGTCAGACTCAAAAGGATAGCTATTATATGATCCCGCCTATATGGAATATCTAGAATAGGCAAATGCATAGAGACGAAAGGTTATTAGTGGTTTCCAGGGACTGAAGGAGCCCTGTGGCGCAGTGGTTAAAGCGCTTGGCTGCTAACTGAAAGATCAGCAGTTCCAACCCACCAGCTGCTCTGAGGGAGAAAGATGTGGCAGTCTGCTTCCTTAAAGATTTACAGGGTCACTGTGAGTCAGTATTGACTCTGCGGCAGTGGGCTGGGGGGAGGAGGGAATGGGAGTTTCAACTGAAGGGGTACCGAGTAATACCTGGAAATGAATAGTGGCGATGGCTGCATAACATCGTGAAGGAAAGTAAACAAAGTCACTGAATTGTACACTTAAAAATGTTCAAATGGCAAAAATTTTAGTATATATTTTACCACAATAAAATTAGAAATTTTGAAATAATTTAAAAATTGATGATTGAAATTAAATTTAATGAGTCTCATAACTCTTTCACTGACAAATGTACTGTGACATTTCTTCTAACGTGAATGGATTTCAAATCCAATTAAAATCTTTTATATCAAATATTTCAAAAGAATGAGGCTATAATTTGTAGATGGACCCATATTGTTGGAACAGCCACCCTGCAGATAGCTTGCAGTCCAAATAAGAGGGCACATCGCTGGCAACAGCCAGAAGAATCTTGTATGTAAAGCAGAGAGCTGGGCTGTCTGGAGCTGCACCTGCAAGGAGCCCTGGCCCAGACTTGCAGACCCCATAACACCCATGGCCAGCAGCACCTGAGGCATCTGGACCACCAACTGTTCCAGCAACTCCATGGCTCCCCTGTCTTTGATGTGCAACAGAGCACTGTCCTGCTGCTGCTGAAGTATGTGACCTGCTGGGAGGCCCTCCTTGGCTATGTTTCAGTGAGCGCAGAGCTCCTTGACAGGTAACAGGTAAGGGGCTCTGGCTGCTCCAAGTTCCATCCGTCTGGCCATCCTGAGGACCAAGGGGGTCAGTACTCCCAGCATACCAATTTCAAGGCACACCAGTTAGGGTATATAATTTAGGATCATAAAATCTAGAATTACAATAACTAGAGTTTACCCTGAACAGAAAAATACAGGGAGCTGTGTAAATATGGATACAGATTTCTACCAGTGTTTAAACCCCAGAGGTTCTGGATAGTTCACATCAAATACGATCTTTTCCTAGGAAACAGAGGCGACTGGGAAACCTACAACACTATGTCAAACTTCATCCTGAAAGTGTTATTGAGTATTTCATTGTTCATGTTTGATTATGCTTCTCTGCATGTTACAGAGATAAACTCTCATAAGCTACAGCAACCCCTGCAATGATTATAACCTGGGCAGTGAGCTATATATTATACTTGAGTGATTGTTTTTTACAATGGGGATCACTATGCATAGTAAATTGTACTTGATATTGTATAGTTACAACAGGCACAGAGTCTACTTGCAGATGCCTGAAAGAGACTGCTCTTGACAAAAATGTTTATCCATTCATTAGTGTGTTTTTGCACGAAGTTCAAGACAGACGAAAATCCAAATTAGACACACTACCCTGTTCAGTCCTCCTTTTCTAAAATCTATGTTAAAAATCTATATTAGCATGTGGACAAGAGGGTTAAAGGCAGGTTGAGGTTGGTAGTACAGTAAAACCAAAAACCAAAAAACCAAACCCATTGTCAAGTTGATTCTGACTCATAGCAACCTTGTAGGACAGAGTAGAACTGGCCCATAGGGTTTCCAAGGCTGTAATCTTTACAAAAGCCGACTGTCACGTCTTTCTCCTGCTGAACAGCTGGTGAGTTTGAACCACCGACCTTAAACAATTAGCAGCTGATCACTTAACCACTGCACCACCAGGCCTCCCTGGTAGTACAGTAAAACCTGTGAAAGCCAGAACCTGTGTAAGGCAGAAACCTTCCAGAGAAAGAAAACTAAAATATTTTCCACTAAAAGGAGTGATAGAAAAGTGGCAAGACTGTACCCTGTCAAAGGCGGAAAACTTGCAAAACCCAGAAAAACAAACAGTCCTGTCAAGTTCCGGCTTTCACAGCTTTCACTGTATTTAAATAATTAAAGTGAGAATAAGATGCTAAATCAGTATCACCAAATAACACGAATTAGTAATCTCATGGTCCCCTGGGGTAATCAGATGATATCTGAAGTATCATGTGCGTTTCTGGGTACCTATATTTAAAAAGATGTGCCCAGGTGAGGGTTACCAGGAAATAATGTCATTTAAAAAATGGTTGAAAGAGTGAAGCTATTTCGGGTAGAGGAGAGAAAGTTAAGGGATGCATGATTGCTGGCCCCAAATATTTGAAAAGCAGTCATGTGGAACATTTTATTTTATGTTGCTTTGTTAGGCAGAACCAGGACTGGGAGGTGGAAGCTAGTGATCTTAGAGAATCAGAATTTTTGAGATAAAAGGGATGTTAGCTATTTCGTCCAATCCCCTTACAGGTGAGTCTAGAAAGACAGACTTGCCTCAGATCACACAGCTGCTTAGTGTAGTCAGCTCTACCTACAGGTTTCCTAGCTCCAAGATTGGGATGCTTTTTGTGGCAGCATGCTGATCCCACAGCCTATTCCAAACGATTTCCATCCATACTCCAAGATTTTGAGCCCTTTACGCCCTCGGACTTAGCTAAGTACGATCCTCTCTGTGTCAATGAAAATAGCAAGGCTTTCAGAAGTGACCTCCCTCACTGCACTCCCTTAGAGGTCATTGTGCCCATTTCCTTTCCTTCTGTCTCAGTGGCTGAGTCAACTCAGTGAGTTAAAGGGAGTCTTTGCCCCTGGCTTCCTCACTTTCCATCTCCTGTGTGACTCTGCCTCCTCAGTAATGCCCCTCTTCCCTGCCCCCAGGAGCCCTAGTGGCACAGTGGTCAAGAGCTGGGCTGCTAACTAAAAGGTTGGGAGTTCGAATCAACCAGCCTCTCCTTGGAAACCCTATGGGGCAGTTCCACTCTGTCCTATAGGGTTGCTATGAGTCGGAATCGACTCGACGGCAACGGGTTTGTAGCCACATTTGAGAATCGATGGATTTACCAAACCTATGCTAGTAACTACTACGCGGAAATCAACCAAAAAAACCAAACCAAACCTGTTGCGGTTGAGTAGATTCCGACTCATAGCGACCGTATAGGACAGAGTAGAACTGCCCCATAGGGTTTCCAAGGAGAGCCTCATTGATTTGAACTGCTGACCTTTTGACCTTTTGGTTAGCAGCTGAGCTCTTAACCACTGTGCCACCAGGGTTTCTGAAAACAACCCGAACCTATTGCCGTCCAGTTGATTCGGAAACCAACCAGGATAACAAAAAACAATCATTATCATAATACTTAACCTCAAAAGCCTTGTATCAGTAGGAGTCCCATCAGGAAAATAGAAATTACTCTAAATATTTAAAACAATTTAATTCCAGGAATTGTTTCACAGGTGCTGAAAGGGCAGCCAGATGAGACAGGGAAGCCTCCCAAAGATGAGCAACAGCAGGAAGCTTCTACCAGCCCCACACTGGAGACAGAGAAGGAAGTGGGGTTACTCAAACCCACCGCAGGAGATGGACCACAGAGGCCCTGCCTGCTGGTGGTAGCTGGCATCACAAAGGAGACTCAGCGGTTTCCAGGAATGACACTCAATGCAGAAAGAAAGGGAAAGGAGTACCCCAACTTCTCCTTTTATGCTATCCTTGCCTTTCTCTCAGTGCCTCCCCCTGGTGAGCCAGAAGCCACCGGCAGTGATCTCTAGGTCAGCCACCATGACGCTAAGCAGAGCTGTGGAAGGGTGAGGAATAGATCAGAGAACACAACAGATTTTGTGATTTCAAGAGTATACAAAAAGCGTGGCTACCACTACCTACTGCTCTGACAGGGATCACAACAGAGGGTCCCAGACAGAGCTGGAGAAAAATGTTTAACAAAATTTTAACTCACAAAAGAAGACCAGACTTACTGGTCTGACAGAGACTGGAGAAACCCCGAGAGTATGGCACCCTGACACCCTTTTAACTCAGTACTGAAGTCACTCCTGAGGTTCACCCTTCAGCCAAAGATTAGACAGGCCCGTAAAACAAAATGAGACTAAATGGGCATACCAGCCCAGGGGCAAGGTCAAGAAGGCAGGAGGGGACAGGAAAGCTGGCAGTGGAGAATCCAAGCTTGAGAAGGGAAGAGTGTTGACATGTCGTGGGATTGGCAACCAACGTCACAAAACAGTATGTGTATTAATTGTTTAATGAGAAATTAATTTGCTCTGTAAACCTTCATCTAAAGGACAATTTTAAAAAATTAAAAAAAAAGAGTATACAAAGAATAAAGTTGCACAATATATAAACTTTGTTCCAGTCAAATCCAAGAGTTTTTTTTTTTAAATCAGCAAGATCAGAGTATAAATCAGAAGATCTCCTGATACAGAAGAAAATAACAAGGTTTTATACCTTTCTAGGAATCCCTGGGTGGTGCAAGTGGTTAACATCCTTCACCGCTAACCGAAAGGTTGGAAGTTAAAGTCCACCAAGAGGCACCTTGGAAGAAATGCCTGGCAATCTTCTTCA